CCTTTCATGTCCATTCACTGGAGGTGTGGATCCATTGCATGGCGTTCCTCACATCAAGAAGCTGTCGATCAAAGTCAACACAGCTCTTCCTGCATCAGGAGCTTGTGAAGGACTTCTCAGTCATGCAGGACTCCTTTTCACTGCTAAACAGTCACAGCTTCACAGAAAGAACCTTGAGAGCAAACTGCTGCTGAAGCTTAACCATCACCTCACTGAGTGAAGAAATGGCACATTTTTGCTAAATATGCAGAAATAGATGCACACCCATACAATTTATGGTAAACTGAGCTGGCTTGTATGTACATGAGGAAGATGTCTCGTTCTGTTTTCTCTGAGGCTGCTGTGCCATTTGGAGCAAAAATGAATATAAAGTTTACAGCAAATCTTGTCACTGGAAATTGTTTGCACTGTTTATATATTTATATTATTTACTGCAGGTATTGGTGAAAAAAGCTTGTTTGAAAAATGTTGTGAAAATCTGGAAATTAGAATTGTTGTGCTTTATTTTGTTGATGTTTTTACATATATTCCTTTTGAAAATACTAAAATTTGTATATTTATTTATTTTTGTTTGTCTGATAGCATTTATAAAATAAATCGGACATTTCAAACAGTTACTCGCTACTTGAGTAGTCTTTTCACCAAGTACTTTACTCTTACTCGAGTAACTTTTTTGAAGACTACTTTTCACTTTTACGTGAGTAATAATATTTCAAAGTAATGCTACTCTTACTTGAGTACAATTTTTGGATACTTGACCCACCTCTGTAACCGGGCATGATCAGAAATGACGATTGGATCATATTTACAGTCTGTAATAGCACTCAGTAAGTAGGGGCCACATCTGTCTCCGGAGTCTGCACCTTGGGTCTTTTTCCTGCCTGCACACAGCCGTCACATAACAGGTCTTAGTAAAGATTGGGAAGAGCGATCCCAAACAGAATCCATTACCAGGTTGTAATCCCCAGACATAACCAGATGATAACTATCCAGATTGGGAATGGAGCTTAGCATTAGCGCTCAGCCTGAGCTGGAGGTTTAAGGGTCAAGGGTCTGCGAGCCAGAGGGGTCTGCTCAGCCAGAGCTGGAGGTTTGAGCTCTGGGGGTCTGCGTGCCAGATGGGCTGCTTAGCCCAAACTAGAGGTTTAAGGGCCGAGGGTCTGTGCGCCAGAGAGGGCCATTCAACCCAATCTGGGGGTTTGAGCTACATGGGTCTGCACACTAGAGGTGCCCGCTCAACCTGAGGTGGAAGTTTGAGCGCAGAGGATCTGCGCACTGGATGGTCCCACTCTGCCTGAGTCGGAGGTTTGAGCACCGGGGGTCTGCGAGCTGTCCATACCTGCCACACCTGCACACCCGCTTCCTCATCCAGCACCGACTGCACCGCTGCTTCCGAGTCCAGCAGCGAAACACCAGCCATCAGCCAAGACCAATAATCACTGGCCACTTTCCAGGCCAACAGCTAAGGAGCTGTTGAGAGCCACCGGAGCCATTATGTCATCACTGCCACTGGACCCAGGGCAGGCCGGTTGATCTGTAACACCATTGTCACTGGACCCGGGGCAAGCTGCCTGAGCCGCAATGCTGCTGCCACTGGTCTCATCACAGGCCGCCTAGACTGTTTTGGTGCCACTGGACCCATGGGAGGCCGCCTGAATGGTCTTGCCGGATTTGCCACCAACCAAGTTGGCCACAAGAACTTGGCTTGTTGGACTGTGTGCCGCTGCTGCTGGAGGTGCAACCGGGTTTTTTAATTGTTTGGACTAAGGCTCTGATATTGTTTTGAGTCCTTCGTCATGGAAACCCCCCCCCAAACCAGGCACCTTCAGGCCTGCTGGGGGGTTCATTCATTATGCAAATGTAGTGTGTCTGTGAAGGTTCTCAGTCATCCAGGTCATCGTAGTCAAAGGAGCTTGCAAAGAAAAGCGTCTGGACTTCTTTAAGTTACTTGAAGATGTTTCACCTCTCATCCGAGAAGCTTCTTCAGTTCTAAGGTCAAATGGTGGAGAGTCCCAGATATAAACCTAGTGGGAGTGACCCCCCACAGAGGGACAAAAGGACCCCCTGATGACTTAACTTAAAGAAGTCCAGACGCTTTTCTTTGCAATGCAAATGTAGTGTTTATAAGATTGGAGAAACCTGCAGTCAGCTGAGACTGAAGAAGTCTCTGGGATGAGTGACGAAATGTTTGTCCCACTGAAAACGCTACGTCCAGATGAACAGAATCAACTTCTGGGATTTCCTTACCTGGATGATTGAGCATGCATCAAGATATTACCCACAATTACTTAGGTACACGGGAACAAAGGGACAGCAAGTCAGTTTTATCATAAATGACACACATTTATGACTTACAATAAGAATATTTTTATTGCAACATAAAAAAATGTAGGTTTGTCTCTTCATGGAGCAAAACACACTCACATCCTGTAAGAAAACACAGACCACTGAAAACTTTACACATGGGTAAGAAAATATTTAGTTTTCCACATACTGCCTGTTTCAAAATGACACAAATTTATCAATTTACCTTTTTTTTTTTACTGTAACATTAAAAATTGCAGGAGGGGTTGTGTCTTTGTGGAGCAAAACAGACTCACACAATATTGTAAGACAATAGAGCCCATTTAAAACACATTTCATGTGAGTTACAACAGAAGTGCACTCACACTGATAATTACCTCACGATGAATAGCCAAATAAACACGGGGTCCCCAATCCCAGTCCACGAGGGCCGGTGTCCCTGCAGGGTTTAGAGGTGTCCTTGATCCGTCATAGATGATTTAAAAATGTTAAATTATCCCCTTCAACATGTCTTGACGTTGTCCAGAGGCCTGGTAATGAAGTAATCATGTGATTCAGGTGTGTTGACCCAGAGTGAGATCTAAAACCTGCAGGGACACCGGCCCTCGTGGACTGGGATTGGGGACTCCTAAAATAAACAGTAACAGGTCTGATAGTTTGACCCAGAAGGTGAACTGTTCTGACATTTTGTTTTTCTTGTGATCAGATGATGGGAGTAATGTTTGCTCTGTATGCTGTTTGTGGACACAGCCAGTGAAGTGTAACTTGCTAAACTTGGAACACAAGCTGAATTCTGTGAAGCCTGATCTCAAGCTTTTTAAGTTTGACGCAGCATCCAGAAGAACTTTTGTTCAGACCCCTGTTTCTCCCACTGTGTTCAAATGAACCCCGTCAGGGTAATGTCCCATTGGTCTGCCACGATTAGTCGACTAGTCACGATTACGTCGACTATCAAAATCGCCAACGACTAATTTAATAGTCAACGCGTCATTTGAAGCTTTGTAAGATCCCAAAAGACGCAGGAATAAGTAGTAGGATTTAATAACGGACTGAAACAGAAAACGGCAGCACTGCATGAAGAAGGATGACAGCTGCCATTAAACCCCGAAGAAGAAGAAGCTGTGTCCCAGAATTCATAGCGTGGCCCAGCTCAGTTTCCAACAATGGCAGCAGCTAGTCAGTTTTATTCTTATCATTCTTTCTGGGTCACAAAGTAAATGTTTAACATATTTTCAGGCGAGAATGTAGCTGTGTAAACTTCAAATATCTGCTCACTTTATCAAGACACCACATTTTTTTGAAAGTGCTCCGACGTTTTCGGAGACTTCGATAGCTAGCCGGGGTTACAGGCTCCCTGGAGCCGGTGAAAACACCGGACTCCCGGCAAATGGTTTCCAAACCCACCGCCATCTTTTGCTACTCAGGTTAAACATGATATATAAGTCACTTAGATAACTTAAAAATGTTACTGTTCGGCTTTTTTTCAGTATTTTATTTGTTCCTGAGTAAATCGGTTTGGCTGAGATTAAAGTTATAGTTTTTACACAGCTGAATAAACATCAAGCAGACAGCTGATTATCAGAAATGTGAGATGCTCGAGAATATACTCCGGTGTCCTGTTATATTTTAGATAGCAAGGAGTAGGGATGGGTATCGTTTAAGTTTTATCCGATACCGGTGCCAAACTGGTACTTTTGAAACAGTGCCGGTGCTTAAAGAATGGAGAACACAAAATTGGTCCAAAAACCTCTCATGTTTAACTGTTTTCCACTTTTTCTTTGTTCATTTTAGCCTTTTTGGCCAGGGTGAAGGGAGTATCTGCCATCAAACAAGAAGACAGCCGCATGTAGCTATGATGATGTTTGCTAGTTCACCTTACCTGCATTAATGTAATAATGTGGTTAGCCTACTCAACGTAAATTACACACGAACAACATTAAGCTACTCATGCAGAGAAGCACGGCTGCTGCTGCATCATCATCCGTCATCATTTCTGCTACACTGGCAGGGCTAGGGGCCAGGACTCCCCTCTTCGGGTTTTTGGAGGATGTTGCTAACTCCGGGTCTGATAACAGGCACCACACCCGCAGTAGATGTGCTCGGTGTGAGGTCTCGCAGCAAGCTCTCAAATACGGCGCATTTTTCGGCTTTAAAAAAAAACGCTATGCGTCGCCAGGTGTTTCATCGGATTCGAGGTGTTACCTCCTTTGACAGTATCAAAGTATCACCTTAAAGCACTTGTTGCAGGCTGCTGAGTTTGCATATTTTGCTGTGAAGTACAGCCAGACTTTTCACCGCTTTGCCTTGGGCATTTTAATCTGTAGCTCTGCTCTAAAAGAACGTACGTACCTGGACCCGCCTACTATCCTCAGAAACGTAAAATGATTGGCTAGAATCTAAAGTGTATGACATCTCAGGAAAATAAAAGCACCGAAATAAGCGCTTCTTTTCGGTCTGGTTACTACCGTTTATGTCAGAACTGGTGCCGTCATGGCACCGGATACAGGTACCCATCCCTAGCAAGGAGTTTATTAAACTTCACCGAAACAATCTGCACATTTCCTTAAAATTTAATAAACTATCACCTTGTCTCTATTCTTAGTTAGCACAGACCTTAAACACTTAAAGCTGTAAGCTCATGATAGTTATATAAGAGCAGATGCATGCTGTACATTTTACGTCCAATGGATGCATGATCTGATTAGTCGACTAATTGCAAAAATAATCGGTGACTAGTCGACTATCAAAATAATCATTTGTGGCAGCCCTAGTAATGTCCCATTGGTCTTCCACTTTTCTCAGAGGAGGACACTTTGTGGGTTTTCTGATGCCTCAATAGATTTGTTTTATGGATGAAAGACTTTCCACAGTGACCACATACAAATGATTTAACTCCAGAGTGGGTGAGCTGATGTGATTTTAAGCCAGTCATGTGAGTAAAAGCCTTTCCACACTGACCACATACAAATTGTTTAGCACCAGAGTGGATCAGCTGATGTGATTTTAAGCCAGTCATGTGAGTAAAAGCCTTTCCACACTGACCACATACAAATTGTTTAGCACCAGAGTGGATCAGCTGATGTGATTTTAAGCCAGTCATGTGAGTAAAAGCCTTTCCACATTGACCACATTTAAATGATGTAACTCCAGAGTGGATGAGCTGATGTGATTTTAACCTTTCGATCTCAATATAAGCCTTTCCACAGTCACCACATACAAATTGTTTAGTACCAGAGTGGATAAGCTGATGTGATTTTAAGGCAGCAATGTGAGTAAAAGACTTTCCACACTGCTCACAGCTGAAGGGTTTAGCTCCACTGTGGATAAGCTGATGTCTTTTTAAGTTACTAACGTAAGCAAAAGCCTTTCCACACTGATCACAGGTGAGAGGTTTATCTCCACTGTGGATGAGCTGATGTACTTTTAAATTGCCTATCTGAGTAAATGACTTTCCACACAGATCACAACTGAATGGTTTCTCTCCACTGTGGATGAGCTGATGTCTTTTTAACCTATCAATCTCAGTAAAAGAATTTCCACACTGATCACAGGTGAAAGGTTTAACTTCACTGTGGATGCCCTGATGTCTCTCTAAGTGATCTCTATCCGTAAAAGACTTTCCACACTGATCACAGACAAATGATTTACCTCCAACATGGATCATATAATGTCTCCTTAAGTGACCTTTCTGAGTAAAAGACTTTTCACACTGATCACAGTTGAAAGCTTTAAATCCAGTGTGGACGACCTGATGTGTTTTTAAGCTCCATCTATGAGTAAAGGTCTTTCCACACTGATCACAGCTGAATGGTTTCACACCGGTGTGGATCAGCTGATGTGATTTCAAGTGACCAATCTGAGTAAAAGCCTTTCCACACTGATCACAGCTCAAGCTTCTCTCCTCCCTGTTGGCGCGCTTGCGTCTTCTGGGCTGCTTCATAGCAGGAAAAGTCTTTTCCACAGGGATCGCCGCTGGCTCGTCTTTACTTTCTGGTGCTGGATGTTTTTGGTTGATGTCATCCATGTGCTGAGGTTTGGGCCTGCTTTCACTTCTTTCTCCTGTAATGACAAAGAACCAAAACAGTGACATCAGGTCTATATCTTCAGCTCATCCACAAGTGCCCCCTCTTACCTCACAAAGATAAACAGTTTCACCATCTGCCAAACGTCTCAGGTGCCTGGGGACGCTATGCTGTGGTAAATATTTGAAGTGAGCTCATTTTGGGGATAAAAGTAGTAAAAGTTCAACTTGTGAATAAAATATTGGCTTGTGTGACTTCAAAGTTTTTTAGTTTTTACTTTGTTCAAATTTGAAGAACATCACACTTACAATGTGCAGTTCAGGTTGTATGTGTGAGAGCTGTACAACCAAATCCACACTGGCTCAGATTTGCCTCTGATTAACCACGAGGGTGTCACAGTTATCAAAGTCTGCAGACACTGTCAGCTGCAATCAACACCTTTTATTATAATGCACAGGTGAGTTATAATGCATCTCCACTAGAAGATGGTCCCCTGTTATCTAGTTTTTCACAGGCAAGCGTGGGTGAGAGTCTACAGCTTTCCACCCCCCAAGGACACGTAGTCTAATGTCTTTATTTTTCATGGCCATGTCCACTTAATACTGCACTATATGGTTATATGGCATTTTAGTTAATATACAGCATAGAATTGAGGCACTTCAAATATTTTCATCTCAACACCTCCTCCCTGGAGATAAGGAGGAGTCTCACTATCTGCCTAATGTCTCATGGTGCCTGGGAGTGTCAGTCCAACTCACTCACAATACCCATCTGTGTGTGGAATAACATATTTGATGTTTTCCTATATGTAGAACAAAGTCGCACAAAATGTACTATAGATATTACTAAAGTGATATTGTCAAAACATATGATCAACACATAAAATAAAGAAATCTCCATCACAAGAGTTAGCAGCTTACACAAGAAAAGACGTCAGAAAGAATATGAAAGAAGAAACGTGGAAAAGGAAAACAGAGGATTATTAACGAGGTCATGATCACTCCACAGACATCACCTTCATATGAAGGGAAACAGAGAGTGTAACTCAAATGATAAAACATTAATGTACTGAGGCAGACAAACAGAGAGGCTAAACAGAAGGCAGAAATCAAATCAAAATGAGCTAAGAGAGAGAGACCCTGTAGAAAATGATGAAGTTAAGCAACCAGTGTAGTTATAACTGACTTACTCTGGATCTCCTCTCAGACTCAGGAGGGGGCGAGCGGGCCGGCTTTGTAGTTGGAGTCGGACCAGCAGAGACAATGAGCTCACTGACCTCCACTCCCCAAGTCAGTCACCACGAGGACAAGTTCTTTGTTTAGAGATGATTTAATCCAAGCTCACCAACAACATCACTCAGCTGTCCTCGTCAGAACTAATGAAATAAAAGCAGTTACATTTAGAAACGTCAGTTTACTAAACATAAAAATATTGCTCTTTTAGCCTCGCTCACATGTTCTGTAAAGATTAAATTACTTAAATCATCACGTGTTTACAAAAACACTTTTTTTACCAAACTCAGCAAATAAGTGCGCATCCAGAAATAACTGTTTTATCTCGTTTGACATGGAAACTTAAAATTACAAAGACACACTGAACGCACCTTCCTACCAGCTGTAACCTAGCAGGAGAACGTACGTTCGTCTTCGCAGCTGCGATACATACCTGACAAATTGCCGTTCATCAATTAGATTTAACACGACGCTTCTCCACAATACTTTGATGCGGGTTCTTCAAAAAGTGCCCATTTTTAAAACGGCGGAAAGACACAGCAAAGAGCACAGTACGCACACTCCTCCTTCTTCTTCGTCTCCTCCCCCTGCTGCTTCTTCTTCTTTTCTTTTTTTTACAAACCTTTATTTAAACATCAGTACAATACAAACTAGAGTTAAACAGTACTATACTAAAGGTGTTATGCTTACAAAAAATGTATACAATAAACAAACAAATAAACATTATTCAGAACCTACAGGGGGAACCTGCTAGGGGGAAAAGTTTAACTGATTAAAGCAAAGAGTAAAGTGATTGAAGGATCTTCATTTTTTTTACATACAACCATAGTTTTTATAGCTTTTGGGTTAGTAGAGTTCTTAATTGAACTAAGATATTGCAAAAGCTCATAGGAGAATACATCAAAAGAGGGATGTCTTCCTAAACATTTGGATTTGTGAATATGACATTTAGCCATTAAGATTAACAAGTTAATCACACATCTGTTGTTGTCAATGTTGAAATGTCTTTGGTGTTTTTGTAGACCAAATAATACATAGTGCCAAAACAGTACAAATCCTTTAAATACATTTTCTGAGATAAAAACACATAATCTCGGCCAAAAGTCTTGCACAAGGTTACAAAACCAAAAAAGCTGCATAGTAGATTCCTTGCACTTTTGACAAAATCTGCAGTTTGCATCAATGTCTAATTTGAATTTGCTTTGAAGATAATCTTTAGATGGGTAAATTCTGTGTATTAATTTATAATAAATGTCTTTAACTTTGTTGGTAATTAAAAACTTCGTCTTCCAAACTTCGTTCCACATAATATCGACAGGCAACCGGTTCCAGAAAAAAAATTACATACGGTTCTGTGGTTATACTATCCTGAAATAAAGATCTGATAGATTTGTTGTTGTTTTTAGAATGCTTAGAAAAGCACATCTTCCAACAAAAGTTTATAATAAAGATGCCAACGGCCTGTGGAATGAAGTGATGTTAGGTTTATTCTTAAAAAGCATACAAACCTGTGATGGTTTTGAGCCAAATGTTTTTGTATAATCATCACGATTTACAGCTAAATTATTAAATATAGACAAAATGTTTTATAGGAAAAAAGCATACCATTGGAATTGAATAATTGGTCGACTAAAACAATATTATTCCTAAACCAACTCCCTAAGAAGAGAGATTTTCTTTTATATAAGATATCCTTGTTATTCTACATATAATAACTGTGTGGACTAAAGTTCTGCTTCTAAATAAGAGTCCATGTTAAAAAAAAAAAAAGGTTGGCGATGAAAAACAGAGGTTTTTATGGGGATTTTATGAATATTAAAATTACAAGTAAGGAAAAAATCAGTGCCACCTAACTTAGAAAACATGTACATAGGTATATATAGTATTCCAAATGGATGTAGAATTAGTAATTCGATTTTTTTAACCAATTTATTTTGAATGTGTTATTAAGAGTGTGTTATGGATTCAAATATTGGGGATGGATACAAGAGGAAAACCAAAATAACAACACTGGTCCGGCCGGGTTAAGTCAAACGATGATTTTAATGATCACACGCGTGGGAGATGGACACCGTACGCAGACAGCATCAGATCTCAAAATGGTGGAGCATTGATCAAACTCTTATAGCCTCTAGTGGCCCCCACCTTATCATAAAAGCCTAAACATTCACATGCTTTCTCTCACACAGCGCCTAAGCTACGACCTTGGCTCCCTGTTTATCTGCTCCTGCTGAGATGGGGCAGAAAACTCCAGTATATTCTGTTCTCTTCTAATCAGACAAATAAGGCGATGACTTTCTGCGAACAGTATTTCTTATAACTCAGCAGTATAATGCATCATAAAACAATATCATTCATTCACAATAAATCAGCAGTCTAATGTAATGCAAATCGGTTTAACAAATGTAATAGTTATCAGCTTCTTCTAATTCAGGAGAATAATGCAAACTAAAGCTACATAATAATTCACAATCTTTAATTAGGGGTCTAACATGGCATAAGGTAATATTATAATCCCACAAGTGTCAGAATCTAACACAGTAAGTCCTCCATTGACACAGGAGTTCATAAGAACTGTTTTTTTAATGTAGTGTGTCCTATTTTTCCAAGTAAAGTTGAAAAGTAACTTATCAACCTCTTTTATGATTTTATTATCAAGGTAAAATGCCAATGCAGCATAATAAGACGAGAGATGCAAACTAAAGCAGATGCATCTGCTTTAGTTTTTAATACTCTGCCTTTTAATGATAAATCTCTTAAGAGCCACAGAGTAAATCTGTGTTTGAGTTTCACTAGAATTAGATATAATTTTGATCAATTCTTCTTTCCTGGTTTTTGGTTATTCAAATACCTAAATAACGAACTTCTTGTTTTATTGGAAGGTTACACAAAGCTGTTTTTGAACATTCTTTTATTGCCATAAGTTCACATTTAGGAATATTCAAGTACAATCCAGAAACTTTAAGAAATGTTGAGATTGTTTCAATAGCAATAGAAATTTGATACTCATCTTTTAGGAATAATGTAGTTTCATCCGCTAACTGTGTTATGAGTAAATCTTTGCCTATTAGCGATATGCCTTTTGCATTGCTTGAACAAAGTAAGCAGATTTCCCTTCTTCACGTGCTTTCTTTATAATGGGCCACAGCTTCAGTCTGTTTTCTTTGTCCTCTCTCATCAGGTTTTCAGTGAACCGCAGATGATTATTTTGAAGGAAAGGATTGTTCTTGGCAGCTTTCAATCCATGAACTGGATGATGATCCCTAAGGGTTTCCGGTAATTTTGTTTAGGTTTCCCCACTCGATGAGCAATGTCTAAGATCTTGGGAAGCTTTTCCTTTTCTGCTGGCAGAAAAGGAAAAGCGGTTGTAGCGTTCAACTTCAGAAATGTATTCGTCACATTTCTGTGTAAGCATTTCATTATTCTCAACCCTCTTCTCAATGTCCATAAACTTTTTTTCCTTTGGTTTCAACGTAACTTTATTCTTTCATGAGTTATTTAGAAGATTCTTTTTTTGTTGTTGTTGTTGTTGTCCCATTTGGATCTTTAGCCATCAGAATTGTTGTCTTAAGGCCAAGAAAGATGCCAAGCGGATTTATTTTACCAAGTGGATCATCATGGCCTTGCCATATTGGTCCATTTGATTGACCTTTATTATAATTATGTATTTATTTTATTTTCGGTTGCTACAAACGGGACAGACATGACTGGGGGATAGGACAGGGAGAAAGAATGAAAGAAAGAGAGGGAGAGAAAGAAAACCAAAGGGGAGAAGAGATGGTGAGAAGGGGGGAAGAAAGAAAGAAAAACAAACAAAACACCTGGATCACCTGTATGGAGAAAAAAAAAACAGAAGAGAAAGCAAAAAAAAAAGGGCAACATGATAAATGCAGCACCATCACAATAAACTAGTGAACACCCGTGTGTACACCTGTGTGCACACCTGTGTGGATCAGCATGCTTGTATTCCAAAGGTTTCTCCATGTAACGATCTGCTAGGGAGTGTGGGGAGCCATAGCCCCGTCCCCCAAGGCATGAAGCAGGTATGGAGGAGATCCAACATCCAGAGACCCCAGAGTACGAGGACCCGATGAGGACCACCAAAAGAGGGGGGGGGGGGGGGGGGACCGTGTGTTAAAAGCCAGGGCATAAAACTGTTTCTTTAGTAGTGATTTAAATTCATCAAGTGTTTGTGAAGATCTAACATCTAAGAGAAGACTATTCTAAAGTCTGGGACCTGCCACAGAGATGGCAGAGATTTGAGATTAGTCTGTGGGATGTGCAGCATTAACCTTGAGTGACTACACATGGTTTTTCCTGGAGCATAAACACAAAGGAGCTCAGACAGGTCAGAGGGGACTTTGGCGTTGAGTGACTTAAAAACAAAAAGTAAAAGTTTTAGTTGGATCCTGTAGGAGACAGGAAGCCAGTGTAGGTAAGATAAAAGTGGGTTTATATGCTCTCTCTGTTTGGTACCAGTTAGCAGGTGAGTACCTGCATTTTGGACCATCAGAAGACGATGAATGGAGGCCTGGTTGAGACCAAAATACAATGAATTGCAGTAGTCCAATCTGCAAGTAAGGAAAAGGTGAATGACACGTTCGAAGACATTCGCGGGGAGGTACGGTGTTACCTTGGCTAGCTGTCTTAACTGAAAGAAGCAGGACTGGACTACTGTACTCACCTGCTTATTCAATTTAAAAAAAAAACATCGAGGTAGACAAGGTAGGTTTTTTATGTGTGTCTTATAGTTGGAGGAAAGGGGGCAGAGTGCTATTGATGTGATTATTGACAATGTTGCCGACAATGATAACTTCAGTTTTGTTTTGGTTTAGCTGTAGAAATTTTATAGACATCCACTGTTTGATGTCATCAAGGCAGCGTAATAAAAGCTGTGGACGGTGTGACCCTGCTTTTAAAGGCAGATAAATCTAGAAATCATCAGCAAAGCAGTGGAATAAAATGTTGTAACGCGAAAAGTTGGAACCCAATGACAACAAATACAGTGCAAACAGGGCAGGACCCAAAAAAGAGCCTGGAGGTACAACATATTTAAGAGGTGCTATTTTAGAGCTAGGGGCCCATATATTTTGCTTTTTTTCCCTGCCTGTCCTGTTTGGTTCTTTTGCCATCAGAATTATTGTCTAAAGGCAAAGGAAGATGCCCAACAGATTTACTTTACCAAATGGACCATCCCACCTTGCCGTATTGGTGTATTTGATTCACCTTTGCTTTTATTGTTTATTTTATTTTATTTTCACTTGCTACACACGGGACAGACATGATTGGGTGAAAGAAAAGCCCCAGGCTCCAGGACCCGACAAGCAGCCACCAGGAGTGAGCCGGTGTGTACCTGGACGCCCATCCCCGGACACAAAGAACCACCAATGCACTGATGTCTGAGGGGATCTTCCACCGGCAGGGGAAGTGGTGGGGGGAGATAGGCCTCCAAACCATGGAGGGCCTGAGATGTTCCTAGACAGGTGGCATCTGATACCCAACCTGACATATCGACACAGACATACAGGCACACACAGATACAAACATCCATTCCCACCCTCATGCTCTCATACGCGATTACTCAACACTCACCCAACGTGGAGACAGACATAAATAGACACATTACACACAATCACACTCCCCAAGCGTACTCTATACCCCAGGTCTAGGTACTCTTGCCTTGGAGGTGGAAACTGCACCCAGGCACAGGTGGTGACACCCTCTTCCCTGGGGTTTAAGCAGAGAAGCAGACCGCCCCGACTCCGCAGCTGCAGGGAGGCCCCACACTCCAGACCCCAATTGGACGGCCAACTCATCCTCCTAGCCCCCCCGCTCCAGCAGGTTGCAGAGAACGGGGGTGTGAGAAGACTCCAAATCTCTCTCTGCCCACTCATACGTAGTGTTGATGCATGTGTGTTCTAAGGTGCATTTAAACCCAGGAGGGCATTGAGCTACCTGCCAGAGAGCAGCAGGTAAGCGCATAGCCCCTCCTGATAGCCCTCAATGTCTATGTGTATTTAAAGTTGACAGGTGGGCAAGAGGTGAGGTGTACACCCTGATGGTCTTCTGGATGCCGTGTAGCGTGCCCACCCCCAAGATCCTATATGTATGTGTTATGAGAGTGTGAGTAATGTGAATGTCTAAGTTGTGGGATAAAATTGAGACACAGGCAGCCGGAAGGGGACAGAAGGGGGGGGATGCACCCTGGTGACACACCTTTACCCCAAGGCCCTGCATGTGTGGGTGATTGTGGTGGAGCGAGAAGAGGGAGGCAGCTGGAGATGGGGAGTGAAGGAAGGGGCAAGTGGCCCCTCCCTGGGCCCAGCACCTCCGCTGAACCCGGTAGGCATCCCCCTGGTGGGTTGCAGAGTATGGATACCATACACTGCAACCCACCAGGGGGATGCCTCCCTGGGCCCAGCAGCGCCGCCCGGCCCCACAGAGTCCGGGACAGCCCACCTGACCCCACCACAGAGAAAACTGCACCCAACCTGTCATCAACTCATCTTCCAGACTACACAAGACAATAGACACCAAGGCTGAGATCTTCCTCCACCTCTCCTATATCTCCCCCAGGCCAATATTAATGTTAAAAGACCTTCCTGACAAGTAGGGCAGAAACCACTGGAGGGCACATCCTTTTAGTCCAGGATGAAATTCTAGCTGTGATTACAGGATGTCATGGTTGACCGTGTCAAAAGCTGCTGACAGGACCAACAATAAAAGGGCAGCAGGGCTGTATTAAATTCGGTTCCTTGCATTCTTTTGGCGGGCTCAAAGTGGTCTAACTCAAAAAGTGATCTTTATTTTGCATTCCCGGGAATGGGGAGCTGTTAGGCGCTATCATGCACCCACACCTCTGAAAAAATCATAAGATGAAACTGTATGTGTCTAGTTTGGCTACGTCACACACACACCCTCAGTTTACTCAGTTCCTCTTTCTTTGTGTCAGATTTCCAGTGCAGCTCTGCACTGAACTTCCTCTTTTCTTTACTTCTCCTTTCTAAAGTCTGTTGCCAGGGCAACAGGGGCAATATATATTAAATACATGACAGCTGCCGGATTCCAAAGTTAAAAGAATATAATTAAAAATCCTTAAAAGTGCAGTCTCAGTGCAATTTAGTGATTTAAAAATATATTGGAATTTTTCCGAGATCTTGTTAAAATCAAGGTGGGCCTGCAAGTAGACAACTTTCACCAAAACTGTAGACAGAAAAGTATGCTTTGAGATTGGCCGCGTCCTCATCCAGCACGGTCTGCACCGCTGCTTCCAAGTCTATCAGCAAAACACCAGCCATCAGCCAAGACCCATAATCACCGGCCACTTTCCAGGCCAACAGCTAAGGAGCTGTTGAGAGCCACCAGAGCCGTTATGTTGTCACTGCCTGAGCTGCAACGTTGCTGCCACTGGTCTCATAGCAGGCCGCCTAGACTGTTTCACTGCTGCTGGACCCGTGGCAGGCTGCCTGAACTGTTTTGCTGCTGCTGCTGGACCTGCGGGAGGCCGCATGAACAGCCTTGCTACTGTTGCCACCAATTACCACCAATCACTTATTTTCCACCCTAATTTACGAATAAATTCTTTACAAATCCTACCATGTGGATTCATGGATTTTTTTTTTTTCACATTCTGTCTCTCACAGTTGAAGTGTACCTCTGGTGCAAATTACTGACCTCTGTCATCATTTTAAGTGGGGGAACTTGCACAATCGGTGGCTGACTAAATACTTTTTTGCCCCACTGTATATCTTTAAGTCTAATTGTTGAATGTTGTCATTGTGTTTCTTAAATTTGTTAGGTCTTAGTTCAATCTATAGGATCAAGCCAGTCCTTTGATCCTGACCACGTCTCCACCCACTCTGTGCTGGGGGAGGTTTTATTGCAGATGCACTCTCTCTGGAAGATCTGTTCCTTGTGATGTTGTTTCCTGCTTTTATGATCCTTTTGGTGAGCAGGAAGTCATGGATACACACACACACACTCACTCAAACAAACACACGTTCTTGCACATGCATACAGATGTTTACACATACAGACACATAGTGTCTTGTTTTAGAACCATTTGGCGGGTTTACGGTGGGAGGCGCTTTTGCAATAAAAGGCAGCAAGCGGAGGCCGGATTTGGGGTCATTTTGTGGTAGATACCGATGAGGCCTCCTTTGCAAGCAAATCGATCGATCGCTGACTGTCTTGTTTTCCTCATGATGAATAAGTCCCTAGACTAGTGGAGCTTGTGGAAACACAGACCCAACAATCTTCTTCTCTTTCACTTCAATTGCTTCTTCTACATTGTCCAACTAGTCTCTATATACTATAATAATTTCTGTCTTTTCAATTGTGCCTACTTTTTTCCTGTAACGTTACGTTGATTATACCCTATAAACCTTATCTTTACTGTGTTTTATATTAAATCCTTTTAATCTCCTGTACTTCCTTCAAAGAAATTGTGTCCTCAGCAAATCCACATGTCCTGAGGATGCAGGAATCTGTGTTTGAAATCCTTGGAGATGCTGTTAAAGCGAATAGGGACCCACAAAAAGACCAGACACAAGAATCAAAAGGTCAAAACGGTCCACAAACATTCTCCATGGTGTTGCCAGAAGGTGGCACCACACCTAAGTTACAGTCAGCTGGGACCGCAGGCTGCAATTTTTCAGACAATAAGAAAGATGCGTTACATCTTAATTCATTTTATTCATAGGATAAAGTAAATGTGTTTACATATTGCCTGGTTAAATGACAGACATTTACGACTTACAGTAATAATATTTTCAGTGCAACATAAAAAAAAAACATGGTTTGTCTCTTCATGAATCAAAACAGACTCACATCCTGTAAGACAACAGGGACCAATGAAAACACATTGCACATTGGTAAGCTGCAACAGAAGTGGCACAGCAGTGACACTGATAATTACCTCACGATGAATGGCCAAATAAACAGTAACGGATCTGATAGTTTGACCCAGAAGGTGAACTGTTCTGACATTTAGCCTTTTCTTGTTATCAGAAGATGGGAATAATGTTAAGTCTGTATGCTGTTTGTGGACACAGCCAGTGAAGTTTAACTTGCTAAACTTTTGCCAAAATATAAGACAACAAAGATGCACCAGTCAATTAAATGCATGAAACAAAATGGAACACAAGCTGCGATTCTGTGAGGCCTGATCTCAAGCTTTTTAAGTTTGACGCAGCATCCAGAAGAACTTTTGTTCAAACTCCTGTTTCTCCCACTGTGTTCAAATGAACCCTGTCAGGGTAATGTCCCATTTGGTCTGCCCCTTTTCTCACAGGAGGACACTTTGTGGGTCTTTTGATGCCTCAATAGACTTTTGTTATGGATGAAAGACTTTCCACAGTGACCACATACAAATTTTTTAGTACCAGAGTGGATGAGCTGATGTGATTTTAAGTGACAAATGCCAGTAAAAGATTTTCCGCACTAGTCACGGCTGAAAGGTTTCTCTCCACTGTGGATGCGCTGATGCATTTTTAACCTATCAATCCCAGTAAAAGACTTTCCACACTGATCACAGATAAATGATTTAACTCCAACATGGATCATATAATGTCTCTCTAAGTGACCTTTTTGAGTAAAAGACTTTCCACACTGATCACAGTTGAAAGCTTTAAATTCAGTGTGGACGACCTGATGTGTTTTTAAGCTGGATCTATGAGTAAAGGTCTTCCCACACTGCTCACAGCTGAATGGTTTCACACCGGTGTGGATCCGCTGATGTGATTTCAAGCTACCAATCTGAGTAAAAGACTTTCCACACTGATCACAGCTGAATGGTTTCACCCCCGTGTGGATCAGCTGATGTGATTTCAAGTTACAAATCTGAGTAAAAGACTTTCCACACTGATCACAGCTGAATGGTTTCACACCGGTATGGATCAGCTGATGTGATTTCAAGCTACTAACCTGTGTAAAAGACTTTCCACACTGATCACAGCTAAATGGTTTCACACCGGTATGGATCAGCTGATGTGATTTCAAGTTACACATATGAGTAAAAGACTTTCCACACTGATCACAGCTGAATGGTTTCACACCGGTATGGATCAGCTGATGTGATTTCAAGCTACCAATCTGAGTAAAAGACTTTCCACACTGATCACAGTTGAAAGCTTTAAATTCAGTGTGGACGACCTGATGTTGTTTTAAGATGCATCTCAGAGCAAAGGTCTTCCCACACTGATCACAGCTGAATGGTTTAACTTTGCTGTGGACAACCTGATGTTCTTTTAAGCTGGATCTATGAGTAAAGGTCTTTCCACACTGATGACAGCTGAATGGTTTCACATCGGCGTGGATCAACTGATGTGATTTCATGTTACAAATCTGAGTAAAGGTCTTTCCACACTGATCACAGCTGAATGGTTTCACACCGGTGTGGATCCGCTGATGTGATTTCAAGTTACCAATCTGAGTAAAAGACTTTCCACACTGATCACAGCTAAATGGTTTCACACCGGTGTGGATCCGCTGATGTGATTTTAAGCTACCAATCTGAGTAAAAGACTTTTCACACTGATCACAGCTGAATGGTTTCACACCGGTGTGGATTAGCTGATGTGATTTCAAGCTACCAATTTGAGTAAAAGACTTCCCACACTGCTCACAGCTAAATGGTTTCACACCGGTGTGGATCAATTGATGTGATTTCAAGTGACCAATCTGAGTAAAAGACTTTCCACACTGATCACAGCTGAATGGTTTCCCACCGGTGTGGATCAGCTGATGTGATTTTAAGCTACCAATCTGAGTAAAGGTCTTTCCACACAGATCACAGCTCAAGCTTCTCTCCTCCCTGTTGGCGCACTTGCGTCTTCTGAGCTGCTTCATAGCAGGAAAAGTCTTTTCCACAGGGATCGCCGCTGGCTCATCTTTACTTTCTGGTGCTGGATGTTTTTGGCTGATGTCATCCATGTGCTGAGGTTTCGGCCTGCTTTCACTTCTTTCTCCTGTAATGACAAAGAACCCAAACAGTGACATCAGGTCTATACCTTCAGCTCATCAACAAGTGCCCCCTCTTACCTCACAAAGATAAACAGTTTCACCATCTGCCAAACGTCTCAGGTGCCTGGGGACGCTATGCTGTGGTAAATATTTGAAGTGAGCTCATTTATCGGTTTTCAGCATTATTTTGTTATCGTTTTTATTGTCAACTCGGTTTTCCTAGGTCTTTTCACGTGCGTCATGTATAAATCTTCTTTTTTTAGGTACCAGTAGAGTTGGACGTCTTGAGACAACTTTTACGTGGTCTTGGTCTCGACTGACTTTTTTCTTGGTCTTGTCAAAAACAACACACAACATTCGAAGCACATTGCACACCGTCGTAAATTCCCCCTAATTTTGGTAGGACCCGAGCTCAGGTACTAGCTGAGGACAGCAGTTACGCATGTGAGCGAGGGGGGAGAAGCTGCTGCCTGCAAGTTTGCTGCAGACAGAGCAAAGCTTAAGTTTAACCAGGTACCAAAGCAAATCACTCGTATTGTACAAATAATGTAAATATGACGGTGTATCACCAAAGATTGATATCAAACTGATTACTTGGCCCATATTACGCTTCTCACTCTTCGAGTGAATCAACAAATGGCAAAATGAAAAGCACAACAACAATGCTGTTTTTCTTTTTAGAGAGTCTTAGCTTACATGTGTGTTTATTCCATATTTTTAGTTGTTACCCTCCACGGCTAAATAAATAACTCTAAATCGTTTTTAGTTATGTACGGATGAACACAACAATGGACATAAGGGGCGTCTTTCAAAGAAAAAAACTTAGGTAGATGTTATCTTATTGATTATGCTGTGTATGTTGTTCAATATAATTCTATGCCAAACAAGAGGAATTTCAATACACAGCAGTATATTCACAGTTAAAACTAGAGATGGCACGATACCACTTTTTTATGTCCGATACCGATACCATAAATTTGGATATCTGCCGATACCGATATGAATCCGATATAGTGTTTTTTAATCAACAAAACTGTTTTTTTTAAATATCTTGCTGCATTTTGTAGAAGTTCATACTCAAGTTTAAAACAACAACTACACTAAAGCTATTCTGTTATACCTGTATGCAAAAAAAATATTTCATAGTTCAGCAATACTGATCAATCTAATAAACTTAAACCTGCACCATCCTCCCTATTCTGGTATTTTAAAGAGTACTTAGCGTAAATATTAAGCAACCTAACTAATAGGGTTCCAACTCCCAGCAACAACAAAAATAAATAAATAAAAAATAGGGAACCACCCCTCACGCTCCACCTCATGATGCTTAATCGACGTAATCAACCTTAATTTGATGCAGTGTGAAAAAAAATGCACAGAAATAAATTATTTTTCAAGAAATATTAAATAGATTCAACATCTTTCTTCAACAGAACTGCAGACTGCACAGATGGTACCTTCCCAAAGGAAAAAGCACTATAGCTTACTAGGGTATATTAGAATTAATAGTTACTATATACAGTATTGGACTTCTATATATTTTACATCAGAATAAAACTTTGGGTGTCAGATAATTATTTATTAAAAGCTAGACATTTTAAATGAGAATCAGAAATAAAAGTATGTCTTTGTGCCCCCTTTTCCCTGTTCATGCCCTATCGGCCCCCCTGGCTAAACTTTGCTAGATCCGCCCCTGGACAGTTACCAGCGTCAGCTACGTAGAAAAAGATCCTGGTGTAGAAAGTAATATTAGATAAATTCTAACAACAGCTTATCAAGCTTAAACGTGCTGCTGTTGTTCAGCCGCTGGTTTCCTCTTTCTGGTGCAAAGTGGGCCAAAAACAAACAAGAGAGACGGACTCGCGACAGAAAAGCCGATCAACTGATCATTAAGCAGTTTCATGATTGAAGTAGCAGCAAGAGAGGGTGAGAGAGAGAAGAGGCAGTCGCTCCATATATCGGTTATTAAGCTTAACGTGGGAATGCTTTACAAACATTCAGAGATGGACTTACACACTTGCTTTACATAACTTTGTCGGAGATGAAATGCCGGGTTGCTAGCTAAGCTCCAAATGCTATCCAGACCACCGACAGGTCCCGCATGCCACAGCCGCTCTATCACGTGACGCATACTGCTCCGACTGCTAACGTTCTGAGGTGAGTTACGGTGTGTTGCAAGTTTTGTGAGGTGCTTTCGTGATATTTAATGGATCGGATTACATTTTTTATTTTTCTCCGATATCCGATCCAGTAATTTAGGTCAGTATCAGACCGATACCGATACGTAATATCGGATCGGTCCATCTCTAGTTAAAACCAGATATTTAGATACACTTTAGGGAGAAAACATAAAAACATTTTTTTACTGTTAAAAATCAATTTAGAGTAAACTTGTTTTGTTTTAGATAAATAAATATTGAAATATATTTTAAATTAGTTAAATGTCAGAATAAAGAGAGACAGAGCTTTCTGTTTTTTATCACTTTCATCAAATTTAGGAGTACATATGCACTAAGTTTATTGTTAATTAATAAGAAAACTCCAGACGATTCTATTCTGAGCTGAAGAAGCTTCTGATTGGTTCGTAGAGTCCATGTGAGAAAATTGGTGGCACACCTGTGGATCCATATAAGGCAAAACACAGATCCTGTTTCTTTGACATGGGAAAATCAAGAGATGTCAACCAAAACACCAGGAAAATAATTGTGGAGCTCCATAAGTGTGGCTCAATTTTGAATACAATTTGGTGCCATTTGCAATTAAGAAATACAGATAGTTTCTCTCTTTACTCTTAAAGTTAACAAATATGTTTTTTATATTTATCGATCTATAAAAATAAACATTTAGTCTGATTTGATGTTACAATTAAAAAATCTTTTTTTTTATCTTAAGGGTATATAAATATCTGGTTTCAACTGTATATTTGATGATGTTGGTGTTTGGCTTGATTGTCAGCACAAAGAGGGAGAGAGAGGAACAGAGAGAGAGATGGAGAGGAGAATGAGGACAGAACAGAGATGGAACAAGAGCAGGTGAGACGCACATGTCAAATGGTTATTTGCCAAAACTCTTCAGAACATGTATCTAGTAGCTAGTGTATCTTTTTAGATACCATTTGTTACTTTTCAAATTCTATATTTATTAAGTTATGCAGGCATGTTTGTGCAACAAGGCTAAATAATTATATAAACGTTTCTGTATCTAAATAGTACTGTGTTGTATTTATCTGCAACACCTTAAAGGCCGGTCTGTGAAAATATTGTCGGGCATAAACCGGTCCGTGGTGCAAAAAAGGTTGGTGACCGCTGGTCTACAGCTTTCTACCCCTCAAGGACACGTAGTCTAATGTCTTTATTTTTCAGGGCCACTTAATATTACACTATATGCTTATATGGCATTTTAGTTAATATAAAGCATAGAATTGAGGCACTTCAAATATTTTCATCTCAACACCTCCTCCCTGGAGATAAGGAGAAGGAGTCTCACTATCTGCCTAATGTCTCATGGTGCCTGGGAGTTTCAGTCCAACTCACTCACAATACCCATCTGTGTGTGGAATAACCTGTGAAATACATATTTGATGTTTTCCTGTATGTAGAACAAAGCCACACAAAATGTACTATAGATATTACTAAAGTCATTTTGTCAAAACATATGATCAACACATAAAATAAAGAAATCTCCATCACAAGAGTTAGCAGCTTACACAAGAAAAGACGTCAGAAAGAATATGAAAGAAGAGAAGTGGATTTTTAATGAGGTCATGCTGAGCCTCTTGTCCCGATTGTTTTATGTTGGGCTGAGAACAAACAACCAATACTCAGATCAGGTCCAGTACACAACAATTATGTATTAAGCACATATGTGGGAGACGTACACGATACCACCCTCAGTGTAGTCGGGTAGATCTCACAGATGTGTGGAGGCGTGGAAGAGACGACCCAAACGCAGGACTCATGGTGCAGAACAAAGAGGATTTATTGGTGCGAGTGAATGGACAAAGCAGCAACGGCAAGACTGACTAGCTGACTGAAAGACTGAGTGGCTGGCTAAATAACTGAACACAGACGGGAACGACAACATAACATCAATGACACGACACTGGACTGGTGGAACTGAGGAACATAAATACACAGGCTGAAAAATGAGTGACTAGAGACAGGTGAGAGAACAGCTGAGCATAATGAACTAATGATAAATGGGAAGGGAGCTAGAACATAATGCACAGAGTAAGGCTAACACAATAAAACAGGAAGTAGAACATGCAGAGGATAAACAATGAACAAGAACTGAAAATACCAGGTCAACAGCCCAGGAACCCTGAGAAAAAGAGGAAGCACGAGAACTTCTTTATTTAAAGGGTTGTACACACCCGAGATGCATGAGCAAGTTACATATCATGCATCAGCGACAGTTAGCTGCATCTGCTTTTTACAACACTTAGAATGCAGTTTCGAGACCCTTTCACCCCCAGCTGTTTCCTGTTGTTCGTTATGAGGCCCGTGATCGTGTATGCCACATCCTGAGTACATCCTGTTCTAACCGCCCCTGTGCAGGAACGTATGCAGTTACAAGCAAAACACTTCTTTTAATGTGTTTTAGTTTAAATATTCTTTTGCTTCTTGATTTATTGACACTTATTGAAATACTGCAACATGTGTATTTCCCACAATCTCCACATAGATCACTCCACAGACATCACCTTCATATGAAGGGAAACAAAGAGTTTAACTGAAATGATTAAAAGTAAGTCTGTCTCTCCTGCTGCTTTGAGCATGTACATGACAAAAGAATTTCCCTCGGGATAAATAAAGTTATTCCTATTCTTATTCTTAAAACATTAAGTTCCTGAGGCAGACAAACAGAGAGGCTAAACAGAAGGCAGAAATCAAACCAAAGTGAGCTAAGAGAGAGAGACCCTGTAGAAAATGATGAAGTTAAGCAACCAGTGTAGTTATAACTGACTTACTCTGGATCTCCTCTCAGACTCAGGAGGGGACGAGCGGGCCGGCTTTGTAGTTGGAGTCGGACCAGCAGAGACAATGGGCTCACTGACCTCCACTCCCCAAGTCAGTCACCACGAGGACAAGTTCTTTGTTTAGAGATGATTTAATCCAAGCTCACCAACAACATCACTCAGCTGTCCTCGTCAGAACTAATAAAATAAAAGCAGTAACATTTAGAAACGTCAGTTTACTAAACATAAAAAAATTGCTCTTTTAGCCTCGCTCACATGTTCTGTAAAGATTAAATGACTTAAATCATCACGTGGTTTACAAAAACACATTGTTAATCTCAGCAAATAAGTGCGCATCCAGAAATAACTGTTTCATCTCGTTTGATATGGAAACTTAAAATTACAAAGAGACACTGAACGCACCTTCCTACCAGCTGTAACCTAACAGGAGAACGTACGTTCGTCTTCGCAGCTGCGATACATACCTCACAAAAAGCCGTTCATCAATTAGATTTAACACGACGCTTCTCCACAATACTTTGATGCGGGTTCTTCAAAAAGTGCCCATTTTTAAAACGGCGGAAAGACACAGCAAAGAGCACAGTACGCACTCCCCTTCTTCTTCTTCGTCTCCTCCCCCTGCTGCTGCTTCTTCTTCTTTTTTTTTTACAAACCTTTATTTAAACATCAGTACAATACAAACTAGAGTTAAACAGTACTATATTATAGGTGTTATGCTTACCAAAAATGTATACAATAAACAAACAAATAAACATTATTCAGAACCTACAGGGGGAACCTGCTAGGGGGAAAAGTTTAACTGATCAAAGCAAAGAGTAAAGTGATTGAAGGATCTTCTTTTTTTTTACACACAACCATAGTTTTTATAGCTTTTGGGTTAGTAGAGTTCTTAATTGAATTAAGATATTGCACAAGCTCATAGGAAAATACATAAAAAGAGGGATGTCTTCCAAAACGTTTGGATTTGTGAATATGACATTTAGCCATTAAGATTAACAAGTTAATCACACATCTGTTGTTGTCAATGTTGAAATGTCTTTGGTGTTTTTGTAGACCAAATAATACATAGTGCCAAAACAGTACAAATCCTTTAAATACATTTTCTGAGATAAAAACACATAATCTCGGCCAAAAGTCTTGCACAAGGTTACAAAACCAAAAAAGCTGTATAGTAGATTCCTTGCACTTTTGACAAAATCTGCAGTTTGCATCAATGTCTAATTTGAATTTGCTTTGAAGATAATCTTTAGATGGGTAAATTCTGTGTATTAATTTATAATAAATGTCTTTACTTTTGTTGGTAATTAAAAACTTCGTCTTCCAAACTTCGTTCCACATAATATCGACAGGCAACCGGTTCCAGAAAAAAAATTACATACGGTTCTGTGGTTATACTATCCTGAAATAAAGATCTGATAGATTTGTTGTTGTTTTTAGAATGCTTAGAAAAGCACATCTTCCAATGAAAGTTTGAATTGGAAATGCCAACGGCCTGTGGAATGAAGTGATGTTAGGTTTATTCTTAAAAAGCATACAAACCTGTGATGGTTTTGAGCCAAATGTTTTTGTATAATCATCACGATTTACAGCTAAATTATTAAATATAGACAAAATGTTTTATAGGAAAAAAGCATACCATTGGAATTGAATAATTGGTCGACTAAAACAATATTATTCCTAAACCAACTCCCTAAGAAGAGAGATTTTCTTTTATATAAGATATCCTTGTTATTCTACATATAATAACTGTGTGGACTAAAGTTCTGCTTCTAAATAAGAGTCCATGTTAAAAAAAAAAAAAGGTTGGCGATGAAAAACAGAGGTTTTTATGGGGATTTTATGAATATTAAAATTACAAGTAAGGAAAAAATCAGTGCCACCTAACTTAGAAAACATGATATAGTATCTAAATGGATGTAGGATTAGTAATTAGATTTTTTTTAACCATTTTATTTTGAATGTGTTATTTAGAGTGTTAAAATCTAACATATTAAGTCCTCCGTTGACACAGGAGTTCATAAGAACTGTTTTTTTAAATGTAGTGTGTCCTATTTTTCCAAATAAAGTTGAAAAGTAACTTATCAACCTCTTTTATGAGTTTATTATCAAGGTGCAATGCCAATGCAGCGTATGTAAGATGAGAGATGCCATCTGCTTTAGTTTTTAATACTCTGCCTTTTAATGATAAATCTCTTAAGAGCCACAGAGTAAATCTGTGTTTGAGTTTCACTAGAATTAGATATAATTTTGATCAATTCTTCTTTCCTGGTTTTTGGTTATTCAAATACCTAAATAACAAACTTCTTGTTTTATTGGAAGGTTACACAAAGCTGTTTTTGAACATTCTTTTATTGCCATAAGTTCACATTTAGGAATATTCAAGTACAATCCAGAAACTTTAAGAAATGTGGAGATTGTTTCAATAGCAATAGAAATTTGATACTCATCTTTTAGGAATAATGTAGTGTCATCAGCTACCTGTGTTATGTGTAAATCTTTGCCAATTAGCGATATACCTTTTACATTGCTTGACTTCATATGGTTAAACAATAGTTGGGCAATTAACTAAAACAGGTACAGGCACCTGTTTTGGGACAGCCTCGTCTTTTCCCTCTTTGTATGTTAAATCTGGGTGAAGTACTGTTTGTTAATTTGACACTGCTGTTATTGTTATAATGCTTTAATCAACGTAGAAAGTAAGTACCAAAACCATATCTATCTAGAGCTTGAAATATAAATTCATGCTTCACCGTGTCGAAGGCCTTGTAGAACTCTAAAAATAATATGAAACCACTGCTATTTATTAGGTCAGAATAATCCAGAATATCTAAAACCAATCTGATATTGTTATATGTCTTTTGGGCATAAAGCCAGATTGTGTTTCATAAATAATGAGTCAACAACCATCTTAAGTCTGTTAGCTAAAATTAGAGCAAATATTTTATAATCATCATATAAATCATCAATAAACTATTTGGTCTTCAATTATCAATCATTAAGAGGTCCTTATTTGGCTCCAAAAACAATGTGGTCAAACCTTGATTCATCGTAGTGGGAAGTTGGTGGTTTTCCATCTTCCATTGGTTTTAATTTTGCACTCCAGTATGAACACAAATCCCCCAACACGAGGATCACCACAACATAACCTAACAGACCTACACCTTAGTTCACAGATTCACTTTGTCTAAGGTTTATTTCTGGGACTTCGCACAATCCAGGAGCAAATCATGAATACGTAATGGACTTACATTTACAACATTATGAATGAAATGTGCTCTATCTGGAAGCAGCGGGTCTCCCTCCCCCTTCAACAGGTTGTGTGTGAGACTTTAAATCATCAAACTGTAAATTATACATTTTAAATTGTTATTGATCCTTTACCCCGAGTCCTAATGTGTATATTTATTTTCTTACTCTTCTTATATTTATTGTTTGTTTACTTGCATTGTTGTAACTGGAGCCTCGTCGTCTCGTTTCTCTGTATGTAGCGGAGATGACAATAAAGTTTACTTTGACTTCAGCAACAAGCAAGCGCACCGAGGGCTCTCGCGCTCACTTAACGTGTATAGAATTTAAAAAAAAACATCGGTGTAAATTATAAGTCTGTATCATAATGTCTGGTGTTTTCGTGTTTGTTGGTTTGTTTTTATTTTGCTTTATTTTGCGAGTCGGTTATTAGATGCCGCTCCAGCCAATCCCCCGCCGCGGTTAGGAAGCATGTAGCGAGGCTCTATCTATCTATCTATCTATCTATCTATCTATCTATCTATCTATCTATCTATCTATCTATCTATCTATCTATCTATCTATCTATCTATCTATCTATCTATCTATCTATCTATCTATCTATCTATCTATCTATCTATCTATCTATCTATCTTCGCATCTTTCCTTCACGTCATGACGTTTTTCATCCGTGTTAAGGTAAAGTGATCAGGAAAAGGAGATAGGAGGGACTTCTTTCTGGTGCTTGCCCTCAACTCTCGTGCTGCCCTGTCTGCGCTATTGGCTTCGTGTCCGGTGGAATACGCCGGAAATGGGATGGGTCTACAGATAACCACGTGGGTTTCTGCTCCCTGCTTCCAGCTTCACCCCTTCTCTCGGTTTGTGGGTTGTAGGGTAAGAACTGAGCAAACTTTAATGTCAGTTCGGTTAGTCTTGGGTAGATCCTGAATGTGCAAAGCGTGAAACACCGCAACATCCGACCCGTCTGAAATAATCAGAAACCCATCCCCGCATTGACACCTACTGGCCATTTCGGCTACCATTACATGTTGATGGATGCTGCTGAGTGACGCAGACGAGCCCTGCACAACCCCAACAAACTACTTATTATACCAGACTGTCAGTAGCTGCGGTCTACACGTTTTGGAGAAATCCCGCAAAACAAGGAAAGAAAAATACTGAGACGGTTAAAGACAGAAAACTTTGTGCTTCAGCAAAATATTCCATCTTTTATCGTTTGTGTTGCTCAGAATAAATCTATTTAGAAGTCAGTTTATGATGCGAAACACACAGAGAAAGGATGCTGTGTTTACTGTGATAAGCACACAGGTTTACAGCTGGTTTTGCAACGTTGCATGTGTTTGGTTGACTTTTAGCTTTCTGTCAGTTCGTGTCATCGGGTTTGTTCTACACACTGCCAATAAAAGCCAGACGCTGGCCTAGATAATTCTGACAGATCGTCAATTTCACGCACATCTTTAAATCCTCCTCTGCTCAGCAGCCTCTGAACACAAGGAAACCTTCCTGTACTTCACTCTGCTGTGGATTTGTTTATGATATATTCACACCGGAAGCGCATATCGTCACGGCTGCGCAGCGCGTGGGTAACGGGTTAGCGTGACAATGACGTCAAACGATTCGGCAATTTCTTTTCAGGTGAAAGTAGAAAAAAAGAGCGGATGGAGCCCGAGCTGAAGATTTCATCCTGTGTTGTTTAAAAGCAGAGGCGTTTTGTTGAGAGATTTGAATGAATTCACAGCGCAGTGTGTGGCTCTCTCCCCCTCTCTGCTGATGGGAGTCAATGGAGCTCACCACTCTTTGTCTCTCGCTTTCTGTCATGTGACAGTAGCCGTTCAAATATATTTATATATTATTTATATAGCTCCATCATTTTGACTTGATTACGCCAAAGGTTTAAGTCCTGGTCACGTGACCTGGGTGTCGCGATCCACGCTTCGGAAGCTGGACGCTGCTCACTGCTGCAGGTCTCCTGCCGTTTATGGTTTACACGCTGAAGGAGAACAAACTGAGGAGCAGAGGAGACAAAAGGAGCGCTGACCGCGATCACTGCAGCTCTTTTTAAAGGTCGACTCTAAAAAGGTCTGCGCATCTACATCGTTATGTACGGCTCATTGTGTGGAGGCAAGTAGGAGAAATGTGTTATCATAAACACTCTCATCTCTTTTTTTTATTCCTTTTAAAGACTTAGATGGTTAGATTATAAAATATAGCACAGGTTATGTGGTATTGCTGTACAGACACGTTTCTACATGTATATGGCTACTAAACACGTAAAATAATAGGCTGGTTTTCACGAGGTCATTAAGCGTGGTAACTGAATCCCACTGGACTGCAGCCAGGAGTGAGTCAGGCTTTCAGGTTTGTTTTCACAAAATACACATTCGTTCACGTCCAGATTACACTTCAGTTGTGTGATCAGTTGGGCAGATCTCATATATGACTTTTGAAGTTTGCTTCTTTTACTTAAAGAGGAAGGGGAAGAGAAATTTATTTTCTCTCAATAACTTTGACATCCTCACTCTTTAATTATTTTAGAATAGTTTGTTTTAACTTGGTAGGGATAAATTGATCAGCTTGTTTGTGCACCTGCTGTCACAAACGTCAATTCTGAAGCTATAATGGGGAACCAAACTGCAGTTATTCTGTGTTTACCTGTTAAGACTTTTGGTTTGATTGGATTAAACATTTCCTTCTCAAATATTTCCATCTTGCTTTGACTGCAGCTGTAACAACATTGATTCCAGCAGGATTTGTAAAAAACATTTTGATGGACACACAGAGCTGGACAGCTTTTATTCTGCGGGTTTGGAGAGAGTCTGTGTGTGTCTGCATTCACTTTGTTCCTCTAATAGACAATCAATGTGCAGATGTTAATTCCTGCAGTGACTGCTGTTCTTCAGCCTGCAGAAACCACCCTGCAGCTGCTGGAACAAGTCAATCTTCTTAATGTTAATTTGCGTAGGTTCTTTTTTTTTTCAAGGATCAAAATGGTTGCCTAACAAAGATCTGTTTTGTGTCCCAGCTGTTCAGCAGGAGGAGAAGAGTCTGACGGAGCAGCAGAAGAACATTTTCACCCACCTGTACTCAGGTCGGCCACTACAGAGGAAACAATGAGTTCAACACAAAAGGTCAGCACAATATCACTGCTAAGCTACAGTGATATAACTATGTGCACTTTATCGGCTGCTGTTGGTTTTATTACGGTCTCAGGTAACATCAGGCTTAGTGTTGTTATTCTTTCTCAACCTCAGTATATTCACACATAGAGAATCTCTGAAATTAAAACAAGAAAAAAGATCAGACTAAGAAACGGGAACAAAAACATCAATCAATTAAACAATAATTTTTAAAGGATTTTTTAAGTATGGCTCTCTTGTCCTGCATTTCTGCTCATATGTAATTTAGATAAAAGGAGATCATGTTGAAGTCACTGGTGACACTAGGTCGGCCACCATTTGCACCGGCCCCTCCCTCTGCTGGCCCAGTCCTGGGTCTGCCGTGCAGACCCGGTGACATTACCATGCTTTACAGCATTCTTTATTAGCACACACATGGTTGCTGTTCACAATGCACACAGAGCTGCAGCTCTTCTGCTGCCAGCTCAACATTACCACAACCACATGACCCAGTACAATATTTAAGTCGGCGGGCGTGATTACGGATGCCGTGCAGGTGCGTCTGCCTTCCCTGCACGGCACTGCAGGCCACGCCCCTCCACATGGAAAGTATCTCACTTTTCTGTGGGTCAACAGACTCACTGCAGCTGGTGGCAGTCGTCTTTGTGCTCTCTGTCCGTTGAATGAGAAATACCATGGAGAGACTGCTTTGTTGTTTATTGGCAGAAATGATGTAAAGTGGCTCTTTAAAGTTTGGGCGCAGCAGGCATGTTTGTCACTATCTGCTTACTGAAAAATATACTGAAAAATAAAGAGTTATTTCCAACATGACAGAGTGTTGGCTGACTTAGACTTATGTGGTCAATCTTCGTATGTTAAATTATAAGCTCTACATAAGCAGTCTACGTCGTTGCCAGCATTTATGTTTGTGGCTGTCCTGGTGTTTTATCCCCCTCCTGTATCCTGTTTGTTGTGGCCATTATTTTTAGGAGAAACGATATTTGTCTTCTTTGGACATTCCCGTGTGTTCAGTACTTTTCTCAACGAATGTGTCCTTTTATTGATGCCGAGATTAACATTTCTTATATTGAGACCGTGAATTAACTGTACTAGAGAGGCCAGTCACAGTTGTTGCTGTAGTTACATGGCACCTGCAGTCAAATCTGCGTGAGTAAATTGATACAGGGACACCAAGTGCTGGTGTTTTGTTAAATTAAAATACTCTGGGAATGCTCTATATTTCACTGGGCTCATCTAATGCATCACAATCCTGATATACCATCGTTCCCTCGAAGCTGGACAGGAAACTGCAGGATCTAGGACTGAGCAGCTCCCTCTGCAGCTGGATCCATAGCTTCCTGTCTGACAGACGCCAAGTGGTCAGACTGGGCAGCATCACCTCATCCCCCGTCACACTGAACACTGGTGCTCCACAGGGGTGTGTACTGAGCCCTCTCCTGTACTCACTCTACACCTACGACTGCACGGCCACTAACAACTCCAACATCATTGTGAAGTTTGCGGACGACACTACAGTGGTGGGTCTTATCACCAACGGTGATGAGACGGCTTACAGGGAGGAGGTCAGCGCCCTGACCCACTGGTGTCAAGACAACCATCTCACCCTCAACGTCGCAAAGACAAAGGAGTTGATAGTGGACTTCCGGAGGTGCAGAGAAGTACACACCCCCATCACCATCAACGGCGCTGCTGTTGAGAGAGTGAGCAGCTTCTGCTTCCTTGGTGTACATCTGGCTGAGGATCTTACGTGGTCAGTACACACAAACAAAACAGTGAAGAAGGTGCAGCAGCGCCTCTTCTTTCTCAGGAGACTGAAAAGATTCGGCATGAGCCCCCGCATCCTCAGGACCTTCTATCACTGTGCCATTAATAATGGACTGGATTTATATAGCGCTTTTCAAGGCACCCAAAGCGCTTTACAATGCCACTATTCATTCACTCTCACATTCACACACAAGCTACGGTTGTAGCCACAGCTGCCCTGGGGCAGACTGACAGAAGTGAGGCTGCCATATCGCGCCATCGGCCCCTCTGGCCAACACCAGTAGGCGGTAGGGTAAAGTGTCTTGCCCAAGGACACAACGACCAGGACGGAGAGCCCGGGGATTGAACCGGCGACAGATACGCTTCCCAACCCCCTGAGCCATGGTCGCCCACATTGAGAGCATCCTCACTGGATGCATCACCACCTGGTATGACAACAGCACCACCTACAACCGCAAAGCTCTCCAGAGAGTAGTGCGGTGCTCTGAACGGATAATCGGAGGTGAGCTTCCCTCCCTCCAGGACATCTACAGGAAGCGGTGCCTGAGGAAAGCGGGGAGGATCATCAAGGACTCCAGTCACCCCAGCCATAAACTGTTCAGACTGCTTCCATCAGGAAGGAGGTTCTGCAGCATCCGGTCCCGTACCAGCAGACTGAGAGACAGCTTTTTCCATCAGGCCATCAAACTGCTGGACACTTCATAGACACCTCACCTTCACTACTGGAACTTCAACATTATGCACGCCATACTGTATATAAATGCCACTTGTTTTGCACATGTCAACTACCAACCGCTGTATATTTTATATATTTTATTGTTTTACTCTATTTAATTTGTAAAATATGTATACACACACATAGACATACATATTTAGTATACACATTCAGTAATATGCATACACTCTTATATTGTACATATATTTATTCATATAACTCTCAGACTTAGCCATTCTTATATTTTGCTTGTTCTTATGTTATTGTACTTTGCACACCTCTGTTGCTTGTAAAGCTCGCACACAAGAATTTCACTCACATGTACTGTACCAGTGTACCTGCACATGTGATGTGACAATAAAAGTGATTTGATTTGATTTGATATATGACCAGGACAATCTCTGAAAAATATTCAAATAGTTCACAGAATTTCTGCTTGAATTCTCATCTGTACTGAACCTTGCCTTACTGTAAACATTGTTTTTGACAGCCTTGATTTTGTTTCAACCTTCAGGTTTAAAACTAGTTTGAAGTTTCGGTTTGTTCCATGACTGCATTTCACTCACTGTCTCTGTTTGTATCTCTGTCACTGCAGGACCAACATGGAGCGAGAAGTCAGCGCTCTCAGGAAGCCGACAAACCTCACAGAAGAAAGAGAGAGAAAACATACAGCTGTGAGGAGTGTGGGAAGGATTTTACTGTAAAGTCTAACCTAAGAAGACATCAAGTCATCCACACTGGAGAGAGACCGTTCAGCTGTGACTTGTGTGGAAAATCTTTTAGTTTGAGGAATACCTTAAAGACACACAAACGCATTCACAGTGGAGTTAAACCATTCAAGTGTAACCTGTGTGGAAAGTGTTTTACTCTAAAGAATAACCTAAATAGTCATACGCTCATCCACACTGGAGAGAAACCATTCAGCTGTGACTTGTGTGGAAAACCTTTTAGACAGAAGAGTGGGCTAAAAAGTCACCAACTCATCCACAGTGGAGTTAAGGCTTACAAGTGTGATCAGTGCGGTAAATCTTATACTCGCAACGATGCCTTACAGACTCATCAAGTTTCCCACTCTGGAATTAAGGCGTACAGCTGTGACTTTTGTGGGAAAACCTTTAAGAACCTTGGACGCCGAAATAAACACCAACGCATTCACACTGGAGAGGATGTGTACTGCTGTGATCAGTGTGACAAATGGTTTACAACATATGCAAACTTACAAATCCACAAAATTACCCACACCGAAGAGAGATCCTATAAATGTGACCTGTGTGAGAAGGCTTTTAAATATCCACATTCCCTGAAAGAACACCAACAGATCCACACCAGAAAGAGACTCTACAAGTGCAGTTACTGTGAGGTATGTATTTATATTGTTATCTTGTCATTTTAGCCTGACTGTTTGGAACAACTCGGCTTATTCAATTGTGTTTGCATGTTAGTAATTCTACTACATTTCAATGGGACACTGGTTGAGTCATCCAATTTAGTTTCAGTTGTGAATTTGCTTACATCTTTTGAAATAAAAATTGCATTTTGTAGTACTGGTCATCGTTATGTCTACTATTACTACTGGTAGAATTTGTGACAAAGGGCAGCGAGTCCAACACCCATCGGGAGTGAGTCTGACTTGTTGCCGGTAATATAGACTATTGTTTAAGGATGCAATGGATTGAATTTATGTGTCTGTATGTGTAGTAGGATTTCAACAGTACCATATTCCTGTCCTTCTTGTCAGGTGGACCCAGCAGTCAGATCTATTTTTGCACTCAGATTTACTTTAAACTTTTCATTACAGTGGCCTTATTGCTGTATTGCTGCAGAATTGTGTCAGTATTAGAGTGATGTTATTGTGGAATTACTGTTACTTGTTGTGGTACCACTGTATTATTATATTGTTATTATCATGGTATAGGATTGGGCAATTTGCTTGAAAGTTCAGTTGTTCTGTTGACCCCGGTGGCATCGCCAGTGAATGAGGGTACCAGTGCCAGGAAGCTGAGGAGTCTCCAGTTTTGGTAGTGATCTGTAACATAACCTAAATGTTATAATTGAAACCATAAAAATGATGTAGGGACTCTTTTCTTTCTTTCTTTTTTTTAAGTGACATTCAGGATAAAAATGTTGAAGGACTGACTTACACTGTCTTTGTGTCTTTGTTTAGAAGCAGAGCGACACAGATGGATCCAGTTCTCAACCCTGTCATCACTGTGGTGGTGGGAAAGAGTTTCATTGTGACCTTTGTGGAAAAACTTTCTATCATCAAAGGAATCTAAAAATACATCAACGTGGACATACTGGACAAAAGTTGAACTACTGCAAAGAATGTGGCAGAGGCTTCCCCACACCTAGTGCATTAAAACGCCATGAACTCATTCACAGTGGGGTTAAAAAGCACGTCTGTGACCAGTGTGGGTCATCCTTCACCACTGCAGGTCAGCTTAAAGCACATAAACGAGTCCACACAGGAGAGAAACCATACAAGTGCACATACTGTGACAAAAGCTTCTCTCATTCAAATAGCCGTATACTTCATGAACGTACACACACTGAAGGAAACTACAGCTGTGACCAGTGTGACAAAAGCTTCAAGAATCTCAGTTCATACTCCAGACACAAACGATCCCACGCTGTAAATAAACAGTTTCAGTGTGACCAATGTGCAAAAACATTCACTTCATTATCTGCTCTGTGCAAACATCAACATGATCATCCAGGGCTGAAATCACTCCCATCATTTGGTCACAGTGAATCCGAAGAGATGAAAATCTCCTCTTCTGGTTGCAGGGACGGACTTAAAAGCCTTGAGATCAGGCTCCACAGAGTTCAGATGAAATCTCCTGTAAAGGGTGTCAGCTAATATCACAGTTAGATCTGATGAGGTAGTGTTTCTGGGCTTGCAGTGAGTAATAAAGTTCAAATGTAAGAATCTGCATATACAGCATATATATAACAAGTATTTTTCCTAGAAGCTCTTCATGCTTCAAAATGTCCCAGTTACATTTTAGTCTCTTCCCTTCAAAACAGTAATATTTGGTGGTAGTAGTACTTGTGTTATAAAGTTGCAGAAATACCTCTTGTGAGTCAGTGAGCGTGCCTGTGTAGCCGTTATTTAATTAGGCTGAAGAACACATTCTTATTTGCATTGGTGGCTTGCAGAAGGAAAAGCCACTTGAAGAAATGGGGTTAAGTTGTAATAGATATATTGTATGACTGAGAACTAATTCTGCATTGATTTTGAATATTCAACATGTGGTGAATACTGAAAAGAAGTGTAAGTCTCACAGCACGTATACTGGCATGTTCAGACTTGCTCATACAGGGAGGGTGAGTGATAGGGATCCATGGAGATAATCCAATAATCAGTGTTTTGAGAAGATTCAATCGTCCTTCCTCCGAACTCTGTGCAGAGCAGACACACCTGGAAGATGGGATTATACTGAGGATTTGCAGTTGGATTATAAAGCAGAGTGCAGGAGGATTAACCATCACCAAACAAATACCATCCAAGAAATGGATCTGTAAGACTTTTCTACTAAGCTCACTGTACTGTACTGGATTGTAAACAGTGAGGAAATCAAGGGACATCAGATGGAGTTGGTACTTTGACATCTTTTTTCATCAAACATGCAGGGAACAACAAAACATACAGAGCATCTATGCCTCCCCTTTTCTTCACACCACATTCTGGTTTTGACGCTCCTACTCTGTGCTGTAGTAAATTCTATTTGACAAGCAGTTTCTGATGCGCCAGAACACGACACCGCACCAGAGTTCCCTTCACCGTCAAGCAGCAAGTCAGAGGAGTGACAGGTGTATTGTTCGTACCGCTCCAACTCTGAGCACTATCTGTTTCAGTACACCTACTTCAGTCAACTGACTACAGGTCAGAAGTGCACGTGGGTGCAGGCTAATAAGAAGTGTTGGCACTCTGGCTATGACCACTAGACTGCAAGGTGTTGACGTAAAAGGACGTGAAAGCAATGTAAAGAGACCCACCTGGATGGCCTCTTATGCTGTGAATGTACATAGTAGTGGTGGATAAGCAGAGGAAGACAGCCGTGGTGAAAGATGTAGCTGTGCCAAGTGAGGAGAACATCAGATCATCCACGCTGGAGTGAAACCTTTCAACTGCCATCAATGTTGCAAGTCCTTTGGTCAGATTAGCATCTTAAGTTTGCATAAGCTTATCTAAGCTAGAGTTAAACCTTTAAGTTGTGCTCAGAGTGGAAAGTTCTTTGGTAGTTTTTATCATGTAAAAAATAGTGCTGTTAGCGTTAATCTCGTTAAAATGACGTTAACACCGTAACCGCACATGAACTGAATAATAATAATGCAAACTGCAGATGTAAGCATTATTGTGCTGACCTTTGTGGAAAAACATTCAGAGTGCCGTGTGCTCTAAAAACACACCAACACATGAACACTGCGCACACTGCTGTGACAAAACTGCCAGACCATTGGGTCAAACTTTCAAAGTTTAAGATCAGGCTTCACAGAATTCAGCTTTAATCTCCTGTTTAGTGTTACTGCGAGAAAGTCCATCAGATCAGTTATGACCTCAGACGTGCTGTCTGGTGCAAGCAAGTATTGTTAAACTTTTAAAGTATTCAGCTAAGTATTAGAAAAGTACCGGGACTGTTAGGATTATCAAGTAAATAAAAAGACTACAGATGTGATGTTTGCTTTGAGGATTTGATCCAGAAGTACAGACAATGAAATTTACCATGTAAACTTCCTGATAACAGCTGCATTTACACCGTGTTGTACTGGATGCTTCAAAGAAATGAATATGTAGACTGTATGCTAATCTGAGGCTTTGTTTTACATAATCAGATGTTTATAGTCACCTTATACATTTATAAGCTACATACCAAGAAATCAAAATTACTCAGAGTAAAATTTGTCTCCATCCTGATAAAATACCTAAAATTATGCAACACTTAAAGTTACTCATGCATTCTCTGAATTTACTTACACATTACTTAAAATTAACAACAAGAAACTTTTTTCCTGCAAAAAACTGGTGTTTCACATCTTTATTCTAGTGTACCTAATTTTAAATATTTGTGCTTAAAGCCTTTGAGATTCCAGAACCTCAGCAGATGTAGTTGGTTAACCTAGTACATACTTTTTATTTCGTTTCATGGATTAAATTGACTGCATGCATTTTTGTTGTCTCTGGTTTTGGCAAAAGCACAACCAGTTAAGCTTTGCTAGCTGTGTATGAACACTTAACTTGCGGCTTGTCTAAATGTTGCTTTAACAAAACCTTTTAGCAGCATGTACATGTTCATATAGCAGCGCTTAATTCTGTAAGTATTCTAAAAACAGTTGTTTGTAATAAAGGATATGAAGTGTAACAATTAGTGCTAAAGCTTTATTGTTACAGCAATATGTATTTTCTCCACTAGGTGGAACCTTTTATCTTTGTAATGAGCTGAAGTTGTATGTGTTTGCTAACTGCCTGTCAGAACTTAACAGATTTTGAAATATCCATGTCTCCCATTGAATAATGGAGGTGAAAAAACACCTGTCTGAAGCTGGCAGCCAGCATTTGCAGAGACTTCCTTTGAATTGTTGTTATTTATTTATTTATGTATTAGGTCTTCTGATTTTACTTAAACTGTGCAATAAATAGCAGCAGAATTCTGTCAGAACCTCCTGATTCTTGTCAGTGGAGTCGGTGCTGCGCCATTTCTGTTCTAGTTTACTCATGTGAAATGTCCTATAAATGTCTTTGTTGTTTTAAAATTTGAGTTTGTTTTGCTGCATGAGGAGATAAAAGTACAAAAAAAGGTTTTTATTGATCCTATAAATAATAAAATATACACAAAATTAGCTTACGTGCAGTTTTGACTCTGGTACTTACTGCTCAGTATCTTATAAATGTCAAATATGGTTCTTATCAAGTGCTCAATTTAATTTTAATTACAACATCAAAGCTTGAGGTAAATACCCTACAGTATATATATAATAGAATCACTAATGAACTGATTACTTTAATGTTTTTGGCATACAATATGCAGTTATTAAAAACTCATGTCAGTCATGATAACTGTTTGGATTTCCATGTATCATATGGCTTGTGAAAATAAAAGGGAAGTGGTTTCAAAGTTAAAGACAGAACACCACTGTGTGGCCACTACCAGCTCCACCACCATCATCAAGTTTGCTGACGACACCGTCGTGGTGGGCCTGATCTCTGATAACAACGAGACGGCCTACCTGAAGGAGATTAGGAATCTGGAGAACTGGTGCCAGAGGAACAACCTCCTTCTAAACGTCAGTAAGACAAAGGAGCTGATAGTGGACTTCAGCACTAAGCAGGAGAGGAACTACCAGACCCCCGTCATCAACGAGTGCCCAGTGGAGAGAGTGGACAGCTTCAAATACCTCGGAGTTCACATCACGCAGGACCTGTCATGGTCCTGTCACATCAACACCGTGGTGAAAAAGGCCCGACAGCGTCTCTACCACCTCAGACGCTTGAGAGACTTCCAACTGCCCTCCAAGGTGCTCAGGAACTTTTACTCGTGCACCATAGAGAGCATCCTGGCGGGAAACATCTTAACCTGGTTCGGGAACAGCACCATGCAGGACAGACGAGCTCTACAGAGGGTTGTGCGGTCAGCTGAGCGCACCATCCGCTCCGAGCTCCCTGACCTGCACTCAATCTACAGCAGGCGGTGCTGGACCAAGGCCAGGAAGATCGTGAAGGACCTCAGCCATCCCAACAACAGACTGTTCTCTCTGTTGAGGTCAGGAAAGCGATTCCGCTCCCTGAAGACCAACACAGAGAGACTGAGGAGGAGCTTCTTCCCGCAGGCGATACGGTCTCTCAATCACACCACCACACAGTACTGACCCACACATATGGTTCTTACACACACACTGGACTTTCTGGACTTTGGTTTTGCACAACACTGGTCACTATATTCTTCATTTCCGGTTAATACTTGTACAGCTGCTGTTATTGTGTATATATTTATTTATATTTAGATTTCTTCATACATTCTTATATAGTTCTATATTGTGTATTGTGTATTTTGTTGTACAGTTATTTTATTTTCAACTTTAATTTATATATTTATCTTTATCTTATTCTTCCCAGTTAAATTTACCCTTCATTCTAATTTGTGTTGTACAGTTATTTCATTTTTAACCTTAATTTATATTTTATTCCTTCCTAGTTAAATTTACCCTTTTTAATGTTTCATATTTATTTCCTTTCTTATTCATAGCCTTTTCCTTTTTTGTTTTCTTTAGGTCACGAGCAGTTGTCCAAGCATTTCACTACATATCGTACTGTGTATGACTGTGTACGTGACAAATAAAATTTGAATTTGAATTTGAATTTGAACAAGCAGGATTAAATGCAGTGATGCATTTTGAGGGAGGAAGGTGATGCACAAGCAGGAGAAACCCTAGTTAAAAATACAGAAGTACAAGTGTGTGTAGTGTGTGTTTTAATATTTTTGTGCAGGGGGATTTCTGCAGTGCCACACAGCAAAATCTCCAGTGTGTCATGGTCCGGGTGTGTGCCACTGTGTCTCCCTCCGAGCTGGCGTCTCCACCCCTGGGAGGGGCTTCAGTGTTTTTGCTGATCGCTTACACCTGTGGGTAATTTAGCCGGGGACTCATAAGGCCAGCGTACTCAAGCTCTCTTCGCCAGATTCTCTGCTAACATCAGTCAGTGCAGGCCACCACCATGATTCCCTATGTATTTTTGTGAATCACCTTGCCTCACTGTATGTTTGTTTTTTGTGCGCCTCTCTCTTAGCTACACCTACCTGCCTCCCTGCCAAAGAGCTCCTACTTGGATATTGGACCATCTGGCAGTCCCACAGGCTATTACTCGAATCACCTACCTGCCTCTCTGCCTCCACGCCAGGAGTTTTTGGATTACACACCCGGACTACTCACCCCTCTACATCATCTCCGACCACCTGTGGCAAGTACGCAGTACGAAGGAGGATTCTGAACCAACAACATATTCATATGTCTCCTTATCCGTATCTGAACATCTGCACTCTGTTACAGTGACCCCGACCTTTTCCTGGATCTAATGTGACTCGCTTTCCAGTCCAGTTCCCGGAATAGCTGTCCCCTCTGACCCGGACCAGATTGTTACTTAGATTCAGTGGTGGAACGTCGTACTTGTCTAACTCACCTTTTGTTTATGAATATTTGTGAAGTCATTAAATATTATTCTTAAAATCTACTTATGTGCTGTTCGGCGTCCTGCATTTGAGTCCTGTCCCTCGTCTAAAACGGTCTCGGCCGTAACACAGTGTTAATTTAACACTGGAGATTTTGCTGTGCAGGACTCCACTTTCAGCCTTTTTTGAATAGATGTGAAAAAAAATAAACGGTGAGCGCTCAACTACTCTGTGAGCTGTGACGACAAGCAGGTGGTGACAAAACACCAAAATTTAAGCTGGCAACTGCCGCAGAAGAGCAGAAGAAGAATGATGTCCCTCTCTGACTTTCCGTACAGCCTACAGGCTGGTGCAAGCTTCCCGCATTTACCGCACATTGTTTGCGCTTGTGCATGCTGGTCTGCCGCCTGCTCTGAGCTTTCAAAGTCACCCATCTCAAAACTGCATTGGAGATGGGTGACTGCCAACAGTGGGGTGAGAGATGCAACATCTTCATGAAACCTAAAGAAGTCCATTCGCTTTCTTTCCAAGCTCCATCTACTTTGATGATGGAGAACCAAGGGCGTAGATTTGGCATGGACGGAAGGGACATGTCCCCACCAGCAATTATTGAATTGTCCCCACCAATAATTTGATCTCTTCGAGTAAAGAAAAACAAACCCGATGGTAAGAAAAAAAAAAAGATCTGTCAGCGTCTCATTCAGCGAGCGGTGCAGAAAGAGTTAAATTACGTTCTCTACTGGAGTCCTACGTCATGTG